GGGTTTACACACCCTTTGGCTCGAATGACACCAACCACCACAATGATGAGGGCGAAGAAGCAGCTGGCACTGATGCCCACCAGCACCACCAGCAGGGCAATGAGGGCCTCCCGGCTGAGGCCAAGGCTGCAGTCGCAGTGGGTCCCAGCTGCAGAAACAGGGGCCGGGTGGCCGAGGGGCCAGCGTCAGCCCCCGGTGAAGGACCCCCCAGGGCCACCCCCCAAAGCTGGTGGCCACCAGGACATGGAAGGAGCCCTGGCTGAGGGTGGCACTGGGGTTAGGAGAAGGCACCTGCAGCAGGTATGACCAAAAGGGACAAACATATCAGGCCCAGGGGTCTGCCAACCAGGCAGGAATCCGACTGGGGACAGGAGGCCATGTCCAGCCTCCAGCCCCACCGCACACACCTCTGGATGGAACTCATCGGAAGGCACTGACCTCACAGTGGGGATGTGAGGCAGAGGGGGCGGGGGCAGGGCCTGAGCCTGAGCGTCACTCCCCCTTCGTGGGGATTGGGGCAGGGAGGGTGGATGGGCCTGGGAGCCACTCCTTGGGACCCTGGCCAGATGGGAGGCAGAAGCGATGCTGGGGCTGCCGGGCAGGGGGCATGGAGCTTTATAGGAAAGGGGCGGGGCAGTTCCTGAATCTGGGCCCCGGGGATAGCCAAGACTGCACCCTGAAACCCAGGGGATCCACAGTGGACAGCCTCAGGCCTCAGTTCTCTCAGTATAAGGGCTATAATGACTCAGGTGAAGCCTGGGTGGCGACCGATGTCACTACCCTTCCCCCAAGGCTGGGATAAGCAGGGTCTGAGGATAGCCAGGGAGTGGACCTGTGCCCGCTGCCCTCACATTGGTTGGTTGGGGGAGGGCCCATCCCAGTAATACCCAGGTCTGGAGGACCCCCATGGGCGTCCCCAATCACCTAGGAGAGGTGGGAGGCACTTCCCAGAACATCCACCTCTAGAGGCAGGTGGCTCAGAAATGGCTGCAGTTTCCGAGGCTCCAGCTTAAACATGTCATTAAAGTCTGAGCCCACTGCCACCTCAGGACCTGCCTGCCCGCCCCTCCGAGGGTCTAGTCCCTGTGAAGCTCCCTGCAGACCAGGTGAGCACTGCCCAAGGGTCCTGCCTGCAGGCTGGTGCAGTTGGGGTTAACCTCAGCTCCTTCCTACCCTCCTGCACTGCTCCCCCAGCCACCCCGGCAGCAAGAGGAAGCCCCCACCACAGCTGACCTACAGGGCTGCGGGGAGGCACAGCTGGGTCCCAGCCAGCCCTTGGTCATTTGAGACCTCCCTGACCCCTGATGCAGGTGCCCACTTCCTGGTGGGGCCCTGGGAGGCGGGGGGACCCACTGGCAGCTCCTGACACACCTCTACTCCTGTCGAGTGATGCTGTGACCGGAGATGCACTGGGCTATACCACACTCATTCACAAACCGAGTCCAAGACGCAGAGCAGGTGTGCCCGTGCCTGAGGCTGGCACTGCTACCCTGCCAGGCCGGTCCAGCAGGTTTGCATCCTGGTTAGGATGACAAAGGTGGACCCAGCCCAGTGCCAAGCGGATGCTGGTGTTGGGAGGCCCTGGGGCCTCCGCCAGAACTGAGGGGAGGGCACTCTGCTGTGACCATAGTATGGCTCTGAGCAGACGGGCAGGCAGGGCCCAGGAAGGGGGCTGCCAGCTGGTCAGAGTCCTCACACTGCTAAAGCTGTGAGCCTAAGTCCTACCCTCTCCTTCAAGCCCTGCGGCTGGCAGAGTCCTCTCAAGTAGGAAAGGAAACAGAATCGGGAATGGCACTCGTCCCCTTGTGGAGCTGGCCATGTGCACAGGTGGAGGTGGGTGCTGGGAGGTGGCCTGCAGGAACCCACAGGGTGTCTGGGGGCTCCAGCCCTGGAATGCCTAGACAGTGGACATGCTTGTTCTAAAGGGACTATGTCGCCCGTGGGGACAGTGCTGCTGGGCTCGAGTGGTTCCTGCCTGTGGAGGCTGTGCTACCCAACACAGCTCTGAGGGCCTGGGGCCAGGGCCTGGTCAACACCCTCCCCACCTCCTGGGACCTCAGGGCCTGGGCAGTGCCGGGCTCACAGTTTCCTTTGGACAGGTGCACTGAGCTCCAGGTGCACCCTGACCACATGCTAGGGGTGTGGAGGCAAGTGGCCCTCCTGAAAGCACATTTCACTGTGGGCCCCAAGCACTGCAGCCGCTCAACTCTAGTGTGGGACAGGTGGACAAATGTCCAGTCCCCCTCGCCATGAGACAAGTCCCAGGCAGCCCCTCTGGCAGGGGAAGTCCTGGCTTAGCAGGGATGCTTGGCCACCTGCAGGCCTGATGTTCTGGTGGAACATTCCAGCAGAGGCCCTGGGCCTTGGCCCAGCACTTGGGGGCTGGATCCTCAGGCCAGGCAGAGGGAGGTGACCCAAAGGCTCCTTCCAAAGGCCAGAGCAGTGAGACTGCAGCTGGAGGCCTGGCGGGTGGATTGAGGACCACCAGGCCATGGTGTGCTCCCTCTTGCCTGAGCTAAGGGCTCAGGGACACCCACATGCCGTCACTCCCTGAGGTCGAGCCCAAACACAGGAGTGCAGCCCTGGCCTCTTCTGCAGCTCCCTCACCTGCTTCTGGGAGCTAGGCCCTGCCAGGTTGTTGGGGAGAGGCGGTCTGGAAGACCCGGGTCACGCATCCATGAGGGGCCCACAAAGCTGCCAGCACAAGGAGAGGATGAGAACCAGCTGTTTTACTTGGGACTGGGCAGTGGTGTGCAGTGGGGGACGGTTAC